TGTGCATTTTGAATTTAGTATTGAGATTATGAAGATTGTCGTTGATATCCTCTATGGAATTTACAGTGAGGAGTATGTCATCAAAGTAAACTAAAAAGTAAAGAGAAACATTGGACTTGTTATAGATGAGAAGGGAAGGATTGACAGAGCTAAACTAGATAACTAGATAGAGTGGCAAACCAATAGCGAGGTGATTATTTTAGGCTGTATAGGGACTTTTTGAATAATCAAACGAAATTTGGATGAAGAGTATAAAGAAATCCTGGAGGTTATTTCATGTAGACAGAGTGAGAAAGGTGACCATGAAGAAAGGCATTAGAGACATCAAGTTTGTGTATGGGCCAGCTGTGATGAAGAGCTATAACAAGGAGAACACAAACAATGGGCATTTGGGCAATAGGGCTAAAGGTGTCAGTATAATCAATGTTGTAATCCTGGTTAAATCCTTGGGCAAGACAATCTTTATGTCACGCGATAGTATCATAAGATAAAAATTTAGTGCGAAATGTCCAGTGACAGCCAAGGATATTTTGGGAGGGGTGAAGTGGAACAAGTTCCCAAGTACCCTGAGATCGGAGAGCTTGGAATTCTTCAAACATGGCCTTCCGCCAATGTTCAAATTTACTAGCATCAGCGTAGGTAGTGGGATCGATAGACTGGTTTTGATGAAGGAGATTAAAGATGGTTTTGGGTTTAAGATGTCCTGTTTTATAATGAGTTTGCATATGGTGAGTAGTTGGTTTAATAGTTGGAGAATGAATGGTGTTTTTGAGGAAAGTGGGGGACGGGGGATTATATATGTAGATAGGTGTTGAAGAGAATTGAGCTTGGGATGAGATAGTAGCATCAGAAATGTCCTGAGAGGAGGAAGGATTAGAGGTGGAATTTGAATGTCCTGTTCTAGGAACAAGGAGTAAATGTGGCATACACTATGATGACCGTGAGGTAGAAGCAGGATCGGCGGGCTGATGAGATTGATTATATAAAAAATTGCTTCATTGAAGATAACATGTATAGATGTGTATATTTGTCCCATGGTAGGATTAAGACATTTGTAACCTTTTTAAGCTTGAGCATAGCAAATAAAGACACAATGAAGAGAGAAAGGTAATAATTTGGAGTTAGTATAGGGATGAAGCCAAGGGTAGCAAAGACATCAAGAGATTTTAAGATGAGAGTAAGACGGGGCTTTGTGATAAAGTTTAGTATAGGGACTGATATTTTCAAGAACAGGTGAGGGCAATCTATTTATAATTAAGTTAGACGGTAGTATGTAAAGCATCAACCCAAAAAGAGGAAGGAAGGCTAGCTTCAATTAGAAGACTGTGAATAGTTTCTAATATATGTCGGTGTTTGTATTCAACGACACCATTTTGTGTTGGGTATAAGGACAAAAGTATTGATGTGTAATGCCCCAATGAGTACACAAAGATTTGAATTGGTTATTAATTAATTCGCCACCTCTACCTGAGTGAAAAAATCTTAATGCATTTGTTGAATTGACGAGCAATCATTTTATTGAACTCAACAAATTTAGATATTGTTTCAGATTTCTTAATTAAAGGATAAACCCAGCAGAACATAGAGTAATCATCAATAAATCAAATATAGTAACGATAACCTTGCTTGGTTGTGGTGGGAGAAGGTTCCCAAACATCTGAATGAACTAACTCAAAAATATAAGCGAAGAATTTTGAGATCTAAAGAACGATAAATGATGGCTTTTAGTTACATGAATTACAATTGTAAGAACACTATAACCTTTAGAAAGAAACATTTAGAATAGGTTCTTAGAGACATTAAAGCCTACATGGTGAATTTCATTCCCAAAAAAATGACAATGTCTAAGGAGCATTCATAATGGTAATGCCTTGGTTTGTTTCAATAGGCAAATTAGAATTAAATTTTGCTTGTCAAGATAGATGACATGTCAAATAAAATAGCTTTAAAATAAATTACAAAATTATAAGAATAAAAAACAATATTGAAAGGACTTACCATGAAGGATAATGTTCCACATGAACATGCATTTTAAGTAGGACAAATGTGAGGTCTCCTCTATGTATCTTTGGGTATGAATGAACAGAATCATCAAATAACCCAAGGAATTTGAAATGGTTAATACATGTTTCCTGCAAGGGCAAAATAGAGTCAGAACTCGAAGATGCTAAAATTAATTAATGAAAATCTTAGGCTATAAAAATTTTAGACCTGTAAAAGGTTCATTATTGTCGCAAGGGATGCTTTTCCAGTAGCATCAATCTCATATATTTTGATAGAGTTTCTCTGCATATAAATATTATCAATTATCTGTTTGTGACTAAATGAATCAGTGAACAAGTCAGGCCTCCTAGGCTTCCAATCCAGTAAGTTTATTTGTTTCTCTATTGCTACTTTTGTATACATTAGAGTCGCAAGGAGCCACCTCCAATAGAGAAAGTTGAAAGCATCCTTTTGTGATCCAGATGGTTCATCCTCCTCAAATTTTGCTGACTCACTCTTAAAGCTAAAAGTAACAGTATTGGCCTTTTTGACATATCCTTTGATCTGAAAAGCCTTAGCAGCAGAACATGCAAATTTAGCTTTCACTCCACTGGTAAAAGCAAATGAAACATTAAAGGAACCAGTCCACGAGGAAGAAATTGGTTGTGAGGATGATATGATTGAGAAGATGGTTGAGAAAGCAGTTGAAGCAGTCATGATTGTGCTAACTTCACACCTCAAAGAAGCTATAACCAGGTGTTAGCATGGTAATGAAATATATATGAGCTATATTAATAGAACACAAGAAATTTTAAAAAGCAGTTTGCGTGTGAAATATAAACATTGTTCATTTCTAATAAAATTATGAGGTTTTTAAAACAACTTTATATCTCAAGTAGGTCATGTCTGTAAATTGAAATGTTTATCTCTAAGAACAATTTGTAGCTTCTTATACTCGTCCAAAATATTGTAAATTAAATTCATCTGAGGGCTCACCTGGTTGGTTGTACAAGAAAAATAGAATTTAGAAAGTGAAGATCTTGCTTTTGCTCAGTTCGACTGTGCAATTAAGATCCAGCTTATGAGAAATTTTGAAAAGGTTTGTGGAGTTTAAACTACATATTAATTTTAATTGTATCCACTCAAATAATGGATCTGAATCTAAAAAAAACTCATCATTTTCCAAAATAAGAATTCTCACTTATAAAGAATTTCAAGGGTTTGTTGAGTTTAAAGTTCATATTAATTTTAGTTGAATCCACTAAATAATGGAATCTGATAAACGTATCATTTTTTGAAATGGCAATTAAAGAGCCCTTACTAATTAATAAGAAAAAAACTCGTTGAAATTTATATAAACATCAAATTGAAACATAAAAAGCCCTTTCATAATAGAACAAAGGAGATGAATTGCAAAAGCAATAAAGCAAGCCAAGGTAATCGAGAAGTTGAATTGCCTTAACTAAACTATTAGGCAGCAAAGCAAAAAGGACCATCTAACAACCAGTTCAGGTAAATGGGCTAAAGATGAAAAACAAAGCAACTGACTACTTTGACATGATCATTACAATCAGAAAGGGGCTATTACCCCAAAGTATAGAACATGTGCAGCAAATTCAATAAGATTATTAACTACATTATGCGAGCTTTTAGGCTAACCATTTCATTAACAAATTAGAATTAATCTATAATCTCAAGTCACGTCTGTAAAAAGTGAAATGAAACTGAAATTTTTAAGCTTGACGAAGAAACTTTAATGGTGGTAAACATGGTTTTTTCAATTCTTCTCATGGTTTGAGAAAAGGTGACCCTTTATCTCCGGCCTTATTTATTATTGC